GCTGATTGTTGCCTGTTGTTGTTGTTGTTGCTGTTGGTGGTGTTGGCCAGGAATCTTCATCACCTCTGTTTTCTCTATGTTCACCTGAAGTCCTTAGTATCTTTGATGCTTCTTCTGACAACGTGTTGCTTTTCGCTTGCATATCTTCCATTTTGTGGGAAATCAATCATATATAATCGGCGAAGTCCAGATGCTCCAAGTTTCGTGTGAGTCCATTTAATGCCTGTTTCCTCATTGCTCGCTTTCTGTCGCATTGTCCAATCTACTGCAATCAGGAAAATCATCGGCGATGGTAGGCAGCCTTGTCTTACTTTACTTATCGCTATGTGTTATTAACACGAACGTTGGTGAACATGTCAGCGAAACTGGTGTTGCACAGCTGTAGCGTATATATTAAATCATTAAAAAGAGGAGTCCATTCAGTTGAGACAGTGGTTGAACTATGTGCTTTCTTTTTTTCTTTTTGCATATTACCCCAGCAGGAATTTTAGATATTCTAGGGGCTTGATTTGTATTCATTTAGTCGCCGGTTCCAGCCTCAGTCTAACTAACCTAATGAGGTTTAGGCACACATAAGTGAACACCGAATAAGTGTACAGGCAATTAACGATTTCAGTGCAATTTTTACTGTTGCTTATAAGGATAAATATGAGCAAAAGATGCGCTGTGATATCTTCTAGAGAAGCATCATTACTTGGTATTGAAACGCCTAAGCTGGTTTAGAAGAAACCATGAAAGCATATGATGTTCATGCTAGTTGTTTTTTGAGAAGAACAAGAAGTTCAGCAAAGATGGTGATCTTTTCGGCGATTTCATTCTCAAAAGCAACTGTACAATCGCATTTATATAGATAAGGTTACATGTATACAATTCTTATTTGTTTAATTCCACATAGTAACGAAGGTGATAATAATTTTCAACTTGATATGAAAGTTTGAAGGTACGAATATAGATTACGAGGGGCTTAGAGACAAGATTGCATAGGATTAGAAAATACAGTTACAACGTATGCAAAAATTAATATTTGATAACTGGAGAAATAGTTTTAAAGGCGAATAAAATGTGATAATTGTTTTCAACTTGATATGAATTACATCTCACTAGCCCACCGCACCAGAAGAATTTGTAGTGATGACTGTTTAGAAGAAGAGCTCCTATTCCTAAAAAGCATCCTGGTTCAAAATGGATACCCACCGCGTTACGTGGAGAAGAACATGAAACCAAGGCTAAAAAGAGAAGAATACACTTCAGTGCAAAAGAAGACACTCTGTTTTTTGAATCTGGAATTCAGGGGAGACCTAGTAGCAGATGTCCTTAAAAGGAGAATCTCCAAATCCCTGAAGAAGACTTTTCTGGCAGAAACTCTAAGAGTGATATTCTCCCACCACCCACTACTTCGCAGCAATGGGAAGGATAGACTTCCGCATATGACCACTTCAATGTGCATACATCAGTTCATCTGCTCTTGTGGAGCTAGGTACATAGGTCGTTCTATGTGGACCTTATCAAAACGTGTTGGAGAACATCATCCAGCATGGCTGCAAAGAGGAGGCACTGGTTCAATCAGAAGCGCAATAACTGAACATCTTGTCAATACCTGTCACAGAATCTCAACCGATTCATCATTCAGAGTCATTTACAAAGTAAACAAAAATCTACCAAAGACAGTGTGCTTCCAGCTTCTTTGTACTGCGGAAGCTCTCGCCATAGGCATCGAAAAGCCGGAGCTTTGTGTTCAAAAGAAACTAGTCCAGCCTTTACAACTACCATGGATCTATTTCAGTATGTTCCCTTATCCTTCAGTTTTTTTTGTTTTGTTATCTGTGTGTGTAATTTTCTCTCTTTACCTTCATTCAATTCATCCCATTTTTCAGTTATAAAATCAGTTATTTCAAGTTTGTTCCCATGCTCCTCCTGATCACACTTGTAATCCGTTTAGAATTACCATTTTACAATTATATTCTAATCCTGTGTAATTTTTTGTTTCTATGCCTCTTGTAATCTATATTCACGCACACCTTCTAACTTACATTTCAAGTTGAAAATTTTGATTTCAATTTGTTTCCATGCTCATTTTGTTCACACCTGTAATTCGTTCTAAGCCTCTTGTAATTCATATCAAGTTGATAACAATTATCACTTTTTATTCGCCTTTAAAACTATTTCTCCAGTTGCAAAAATATTCATTCAGACATCTATAAAACACAAAATAATCGAGCAAAGAATATTCTTTTCGATAAATTCCTCTTCCGGCTCTACAGTTATAAAGGCATGTTTATATACATAGAATATTCTAGATTAGTAGTTAATAACAATATTAGTGTGCTTTTTAAATAATATCGATTTGTAAAGTATGATCACAATGAAATTACAGTTCATTAAAGATGCTTAAATGATAATAATAATAATAATAATAATAATAATAATAATAATAATAAAGATATACTGGTGAATAGAATATCAACTAAAATTAGGGAAATTCTACAAAAATTCCGGATTATTTAAACCTGGATGGCCAAGGTAATGATAATGTCTGAACTAACTTCTTTTGGGTGCATAAATTAGGCTTGTTAATATGGATAGCAACAGCCAGCCTCAGCAATATTTAGAAGTCGAAGTCTTAAGGCGAAATTGAGATTCGTAGGTATGCGGTAAATGACCCTGAAAGCATGATTAACGTCAATCTTGTGTTCTGTCTCCACAAGATGAGCCAGAATAGCGCTGCGAATGGATTTTGTTTGACCTTTGCTTAACCAGGCAGGGTGGTGTTCGGAAATTCGACGAGAGACACGCCTAATTGTACGGCCTATATAACTGGCTCCACAGGAGCAGTTAAATTGGTATATACACATGGAAGAGGCGAAATTAGGCAGGTAGTTTGTCTTTTATTCCCGAACGCAGAAGAGGAGTGGTTTTAAAGATACAGCGTAATTCAGTAGCAGGGAATGCTCTTTTCACCGCATTTCTGGGGCGATGTGTTAGTATCTCACTGGTGTTGTCTCCTAGGAACTGCATCTGTAAGAACAAGGCTTTCTTTGGAACTGTTGGTAACTTGGACTGTTTTGGTTTTAGATTCATATTCTTATCTATAAACTTTTCGGGATAACCATTCTCACTTAGCAACCGTTTAATATTGTTAAGCTCCTCGTCAAGACATTCATCCGAACAAATCTCTCTTGCTCTGTGGAGCAAACACTATTAGATTGCGTTTGTATTTCAAGATCACAAAGCTGAGAAAATGTGTGTACTGGCCCGTTGATGTAGGTTTTCTATAAACACTTCTTCTTATTGTGCTCGATTATTTCTCCAGTTTTCAAATATTAATTTTGCATACGTTGTTTTTTGTCGTGTTGTGTTGATGAGTTTGTGGTGTACTCCTCATATGTGTCTGTTGCTTTGCTTATTTATTAGTACTTTAGGAATGTTTTTTATGTTCGTGTGCTATGGCGCAATAACTGTGGCGCCGTAGTAGTAGTAGTACAGTCGGTCAGCGCGATGGTAGTATAATCTGAAGGTCGTGAGTTCGAATCTCGCCTAGGGAGCTGTTTTGGCTGGGCTCTTTATGAAATAAGTAAGAAAGACAGGAAATATCCACCATCGGTGGTTCACAGACACATTGTCAATCGACTAATTACTTATCCGTCAATCCAAAATCTTCCCATACAGCCGCCTTCGCAATGTGGTGAAGCGCCGAGTAAAATCAAATCGTTACGGTACGGTGATGTCTACCTCAAATTACACACACACACACACACACACACACACACACACAAAGAATACATTCATTCATTCATTCACTCATTCAGTCACAACACTAACTGGCACATCGGTAGTTGTTAGATGGCTGAAGGCATTCGGGGTCTGGTGAAAGTAACTATAAGGCTAACTGATACATATAGCATTTCCCTAGCTCTCTCTCTAAATGCAGTATTGGTGAGGTGAGAGCTGGCTGCTAGCCAAAGTTGGTAGACAGTAATTGACATCAATGTTTATGTCAGCGATGGGGCTGCTACTTAGGACGCTGCTGGGAGGTCGGGAGAAAGCAGCATATGACAGTGTGAGGCGAAATACCTACCAATGTGCAACAGGGTCAGGCAAACAGTTTCCAAAGTGGGAAGGACCACAAATGGTCACGTTGAGATGGGGTTACGCAGACACAATCGCAATGGTAAACACAGAGAAACAGGTGAACATCCGCAAGCGCCGAGATTCCAGACAGCAAGACAAAAGAGCAAAGCCCCAAGAATCAAAAAGACGGAACCAACTTCAGTCGCAAGTCTTTGACGGGGGGACGAGTGTGTTGACAGCTGGCTGCTAGCCAAAGTTGGTAGACAGTAATTGACGTCAATGTGTATGTCACCAATATTGGTGGTGAGAAAATCAGAACAAAGGCTTTGCGTAGACAGATACAGTTAGCATATGGATAATCTGACACAGCCACAAAGAGATGCAAGGTTAACTTTCTGTGAGAAACAACCAATCAAAAGACTGTATTTTCTACTAACAATAATCTACAATAATGTAGATTAAAATCTATAAATATGTGTTGATTTTCCTTAATAAACGATCTGTTGCCTGGCCCTTGTCTTCTATTGTTACATTAGGAGACGTAAGTTAGAAACTCTGAAGGAGACACCTATTCCTTTTTGACTGCAGATGCAATTTTCCTGACTAGCTTCAGTGGGTAAGACTCCTATATAGGTGTCCAAGGGCTCCTGGCTATTACCTCCAACCAGGTAAAACCTCAGTGCAAGCCATACTGCGCGATATCAGTCAATTACTTTGTTTGTTAGTGATCACTATGCAAACTTGATTGACCAGAGACTTCAGCGAACACTGATACAAAGGACTATGCACATACAAAAAGGTCTGGCATTAATGTCATCCCCCACCCCCCCCCCGTGATCAATAAATTTATACATAACATTAATACAAGATAAATAAAGAAATGCGGAGAATAGAACAACAACAGCAACCACAGTGATAATAATAATAATTACCTGATGAGATATGCGTGGCCTGGTAGGTATAGCCATTCCTCGCCGCCGCATCTTCTTCATCGCCATTATCAACAGCTTTCAAAGAAGAGGATGATGAAGAGATGGCAGTGATATTTGCTCCATTTAATGTGTTATTATCACTTGCGAATCCATTAGGCATTGATGATTTGCTCTCTTGTAATTTCTTGGTAATTTGTGCAACGAAAGTTGTCAATTCGTCAGCTGTAAAGTATAGAGTAAACAAAATTATCAGTGATGCAGTCTTGAAATAACACACTAGTTTTTATGTGTAATGGATGGTAAGTGAAAGAGAAAAGAAGACTACATCCGACTGAGTGATTGGCTGAATGAGTAAGTGGCCAACGTAGATCTTCTCACACAGATGTACACCGTTTCAAGCCGGGAAGTAACAACCGCCCACACACTTCCAGAAGCACACGAAGCCTACCCGAGCATAATTCTCCTTTACTCTCATCACCTTCCTCATCTTGCTTCTCTATTACAGCTGGCACTATTCTTCAGGCTAGTGAATCATCCTCACTTCACTCTGCGACCACAAACAACGATGAGAGCCATAGAAACAACCCAGATAGCCTTTTAAAGCCACGTCGACAACTTCATATAGGAGCTTTTAACGTCAGGACCCTCTGCCAAATCGGACAACAGGCATCACTAGCAAGGACTCTGGAATCTAGAGCCATGAATGTATGTTGTGTTTCGGAGACCCGAGTGTGGTCATTGACTTGACCTCACCCAGTCAACAAGGTGAATCTGCTAAATTCACTTTAAGGGTGTCAGGAGACCCCTCAGCTAGCTCAAGAGGACTCGCAGATGTAGGGATAGCACTAAGTGTTAGGGCGGAAAAATCACTTCTTGACTGGATCCCAGTAGATTGTCGTATGTGTGCGGTCCGTCTGAATGAGTCCGTTAAAAGAAGGAAAGACGGTGCTACCCGTCGTTGCCTTTTCGTAGTCTCCGCTTACGCCCCAACAGACTGCAGTTCGGATGAATTAAAACGTGACTTCTACCTGAAACTGTCTAATTTGCCGCAAAAAGCAAAACGTTCAGACATAGTTGTTTTAGCAGGCGACTTTAATGCCCAAGTGGGGAAGTTGTGCCAGACTGAGAAGTATGTAGGTGGTACGTATGGAGTTCCCTGCAGACGAACCGACAATGGTGATCGTCTTCTACAGATTTGCTCAGATAATCATCTGTTCCTAGTCAGCACTAACTTTAGGCACAAAGAGAGACATTGTGTAACCTGGCGACCTCCATCACCAAGTCAACACTGGACTCAGATAGAGCACATAGTCATAGGGTGTCGTTGGCGAGGGTCAGTAGAAGACTGTCGCTCCTTCTGGAACACGTGCGTAGACACTGATCACGCTCTGGTTCGCGCACGTTTATGCTTACGACTAAATGGACATAAGAAATTGACGGCAGCGAAACAGCTACGTCCCCAACTAGATCGTGACACTGAGTCCTTATTTAAGGAAGAAATAGCGAAACTAGTTTCTGAGGTCGACAGCAGGACTTCCCCTGAGGTAGCCTGGCACAACATACGGTTAGCTGTGGACACAGCCGTGAAAGCTGTTAATAAGCTAAAATCTAAAGTTAATAAAAGCCATTGGATCTCTACCGCCTCATCCGAACTGATTGACGCAAGAAGACTGATTCCAGCGAGGTCCGATTATGATGGGGAGCGAAAGGTACTTAAACGAAAACTAACAAAAAGTCTTCGCAACGACCGTGAACAGTGGTGGGTGACAAAAGCGAAAGAGATGGAAAAGGCATCGGCGATTGGCAACACCAGACAACTATTCAGGCTTATCAGGGAAACAGGTGGCAGAAGGCAAATGATAAGTGAAACAATCTCGGAGAAAGATGGCACCATAATTAGCTCCCAGGATAGACGACTGGAACGCTGGAAGAACACTATGAGGAGCAGTTTAATTGGCCCACAGCCACACTTAACCTGCCGAACATCCAACACCTCCCTGAATGGGAGATAGACACAGGTCCTCCGTCCTTAACTGAGGTTACTAAAGCTGTCACCAATCTGAAGCGAGGCAAAGCCGCGGGACCTGATGGAATGACTCCAGAAGTATTTAAGTACGGTGGAGACAGTTTACTGTCTGCGTTAACTGAGGTTCTAGGCAGCGTCTGGGAATCAGAGGAAGTCCCATCGGGTTGGTGTAAGTCAATGATTATCCCGATATACAAGAAGGGAGCCACATCTTCTTGTGAAAATCACAGAGGGATTAGCTTCACTAATATAGTATCTAAAATCCTAGGCTCAATAATACTGCGTAGACTAAGTGGTGCTCGGGAGACACAAACACGAGAAAACCAGGCAGGTTTTAGGCCAGGAAGAGGGTGAATTGATCATATCTTCACCCTCCGACAGATTCTAGAACATAGGCATTCCTACCGGCGTCCGACAATCATTATATCTCTTGACCCAAAGGCGGCTTTCGATTCTGTCGACCAAGAGGTTCTCTGGCGATGCTTGGCTGTAAAGGGAATGCCGAGAAAATACATTGCACTGATTAAGGCACTCTACTCGTACTCATGCCATCAGCCATGTGGGGGCATATGGCGAGTTGTCATCTGAAGTGGTGACCACTAGTGGCGTCCGTCAAGGATGCCCATTATCCCCATTTCTATCCAACTTCATCATAGACGTAATAATGGGCTTAACCCTTACTCACTTCAGAGACTCAGGGATTGACTTGCTACCAGGGAATAATCTCGTTGACTTAGAATATGCAAACGATATAGTCCTTCTAGGCGAGGGCGCTGACAAAATCCAGCAGAGTCTTCTGAACACCTTGAGCAGCAATCTTCGTATGTTTGGCATGCAATTCGCCCCTGTAAAATGTAAGATGATGTTGCAGGATTGGACCACACTGACCACTAGATTAGAAATAGGAAGTGAAGTGATAGAGCACGTTCACCTCTTCACTTACTTGGGAAGTACCATCAGCAAGCGCCAACGGGTTGATCTCTGACGAAATCTCGGCACGAATACAGAGGGCTAGTTTCGCATATGTCAGTTTACGCCGTCTATGGCTTAGTAGACGTGATATCCGACTATCGACCAAAGGGCGTGTGTACTGCTCATCAGTCCGCTACGTCCTCCTTTACGGCTGGCTGTGAGACCTGGCCATTGAGAGTGGAAAACATGAGAAGACTAGCTGTCTTCGATCATAGGTGTCTGCGTTCTATCTCCCGTGTGAAGTGGTATAACAAGGTGAGCAATAGTGAGGTCAGGCCATCGGTCGAGTGCTAGTTGGTAAGGAGGGGAAATCAGTCGACGAGACTGCGAAATTACATCGACTGAGGCGGTTAGGACATGTGTTACGTATGCCTAGTCATCGCCTTCCTCGACAATGGGCAATGTTAGCTGACATAGGATGGGTCAGGCTGGAAAAGAGCTAGCACATGGTGGTCAAACGAAAACATGGCCTCATCAGTCAAAGAAATCTACAACAGTTAGTCTGAGCCAGCCACGTAGGAAGGTGTAGACTTCCTGACTGACTGGTTGGGGTCCTCGGGATGGTAAATACCAATGAAAGCTGGAAACAATTGGTGACATGGCTCAAAGTGATCGTTCTCAATGGCTGGCCGGTGCAGATGCATCCACTGCTTGTGACTGGCTTATGATTTCCAATGAAACTGTTTTGTTTTTCGTTATTACTATACCTTTGTCTCACACCTGTGTTTACTATCTCTAATATGCATTTCTCCTACTTTCTTCTCTTGCTTTGTGTGCTACATGGAGGGAGTGTGGTGACTTGAACTTCCACACATATGTGCAAAGTTATATGTCGAAAACAGACACACAGGTATACCCAGTCCTATTCAGCTCAGACAGCCAAATCAGTTTATACCAGTTGTTTTCACTGATACCCTGTCTTCTTGAACATTCCATTATTCTATGTTTAAACAAACTCCGGTTGTTAGATTACCAGCTATTCATATCTCTTGTTCCGCAATTCAGTAATTTTAAGGTATGTTATGTACTCTCGGATTTAAAATAATAGATAACATTTTTAGGCTTTTCGCAGCTGATGAAAAGCTGTGGAATAAAAAAATCAGCTCTTTTTATCCTGCTAATGTGTTCGTTCTTTTCTTTGTTCAAAATAAGCAAGGGAATTAACTTTGTGAAACACCTTGATTTATGAGGCGATAGTATCGTTTTATTCCCTTGTATTTTTTCAGGCTCTTTGAAATATATTCAGTGTGTAAGGCATAAAAAACCATATCTGTCGTCCCAGTATACCCAACTTTTCAATATTCATGTAAATTACGCTATACCATCATCATTGGTTAATGATTATGAAGAATATTTTTTATGGTAGTGTATACTACTACTAATTGATTGATATGAGTAGTTGAAAACTAATAGAGAGAGATTGCGGTGATGTAAACACCGGAGAGGCATGATTTTTTTTCTCATCAAAGGAACCCTATGTATGACTCAGTATAAGTGATTGAATAACTTCGTACAGACCTTCTAAGCCGTCGTTACAAAGAACTTGAAAGTACACTTTTAAGGTCTCTAACACCAGAATAACTAACTATTGTGTCAGTTTATGATAAGAAGCTGATAATTACGAAAGCTACAGCAGACGTCAACATCTTGCTAGACGTCATCTGTGCATAGGGTACGTGGGTTGTGTCGGCCTGTAGACTATGGTCGGTATCTTCAGAGTCTTCAATCAAAAGTTTACAACACTTTGACACTATTAATTAAAACTTTAATAGACATTAATCATTATTATAAGTCACAAGTTATTAATAAGGTGTATCGTCGTAAACACTGAATACCTTAATGCTTTTTATTTGCTTTTTCAACTACTACTACGCACATAGTCATCTGATGTGTATACACGTCTGCGTGGGCATCTCTATCAGTCTATTTGTGTGTGTATGTGTGTGTGAACAACAACTAAAAACAGAGAGATACAGAGAGAGAATGCTTTATTAAAATAGCTTGCAATGCAATTTCGCACAAATAATAAAATATATATGTAAGAATACATTGATGGCAAGGTAGATTTCGCTATGAAGCAATAGCAATTAGAGATCCCTGAGAACTGCGGAGTATTGGATGGCTGTTTTTCCGTCCAAATTTGGGTGTATTCTTCACAGTGCTCACCAGTAACGCTAACAGGGGTCGAGACCAGAACTTTCAGGTTGTGATATCAAGCACATTG